AACGATTTCAAAGCAAATACTCTTTCTACTGCCTCATTCTACCTCATCTAAAGTTGATTGGGCTCCAGAGCAGCAATCCATGGTCTAATGAGAGTGATTGAGATGAACTAGGGCCTTTAGAAGTACAACCAGAATACTCCTTAGAAGGAAGGATGGTGAGACTATGCCTTACATACTTTGGATCTGTTGTCAGGAGGGATCAGTCCCTGGAGAAGGACATCAAGCTTGGTAAAGTACAGGGTCAGCGAAAAAGTGGAAGACTCTCAAGGAGATGGATTGACACGTGGCTGCAACAATGGGCTCCAGCATAACAATGATTGTGAGCATGGCGCAGGACCGGGCAGTGTTTCATTCCGTGGTACATAGGATTGCTATGAGTTGGAACCGACTTGATGGCACCTAATAACAACAGGGCCTTTGGCTTTCTCTGGAGACTTTTTAGGGTATAACATGCATACAGTAAAGCCTATAGTCCTAAGTGTGCGTAGTTCGATGAATTTTTACATATGTCTATACCCTTGTAACCACCACCCAGATCTAGATAGAGAACATTTCCAGTATCCCAGAAGACTGCCTTTACTATTTAAAGGTACTGAATCCAAAGTTAAAATGAGTTGTCTACAACTGCTGAAGAGTCACTGGTCTTCCTTCTGGGGTTGTAGTTAAGCTTCAGAAATTTGGGATGGGCCCTGGAGGATAGTGGTAATGCTAGTAATTGTAGTCTGTTGAGCACTTACTATATGTTAAGTACTGTCTTAGTTATCTACTGCTGTAACAGAAATACCACATGTGGATGGCTTTAACAAAGAGAAATTTATTCTTTCACAGTCTAGAAGGCTAGAAGTCCAAGTTCAGGATGCCAGCTCCAGGGGAAGGCTTTCTCTCTCTCTGTCAGCTCTGGGGGAAGGTCATTGTCATCAGTATTCCCTGGGACTAGGAACTTCTCAGCACAGGGACCCCAGGTCCAAAGAATGTGCTATTCTCCTGGCTCTTGTTTCTTGTTGGTATGAGGTCCCCCTGTCTCTCTGTTCACTTTTCTCTTTTATATTCCGAAAGAAATTGGCTTTAGGCAAAATCTAATCTTGTAGATGGAGTCCTGCCTCATTAACATAACTGCCACTAATCCCACCTCATTAACATCATAAAAAAACCCATTGCCATCCAGTCGATTCTGACTCATAGCTACCCTATAGGACAGAGTAGAACTGCTCTAAGTGGTTTTCAAGCGCCTGGTGGATTCAAACTGCCAACCTTTTGGTTAGCAGCCTAGCTCTTAACCACTTCGCCACCAGGGTTTCCAGCATTAACATCATAGAGGTAAGATTTACAACACGTAGGAAAATCACATCGGATGACAGAATGGTGGACAATCACACACTAGCGGGAATCATGGCCTAGCCAAGCTGATAACATTTCTTGGGAGGGCACAATTCAATCTATAACAAGTACTTCCCATGTGTCACCTGCAGTCCTCACACCGTCTTCCCAGTGTAGTTGGTAGTAGATCACGCCTTCCCCCGGTGTTGGTCTTCACCATCTTCCTGTCGGATTTTCCAGTGTTCCCACTTCTCCTGTATATGGTGGAAGCCTTCGTGCCAGCTAACGCTCAGGCCCTTCGGAAGGTCACCTTATATCCCAAGCGATTACCAGTGTTTCCTGCAGTAGAACTAGTCCCCTTCCTGAGAGACATTTTGTGTCTAGCTGTTAAGGTAATAACATTTTCTCCACTCTCTTCAATAAGACTAGTTCCCTATAATGAAAAGCTAAAAATTATACTGGGGGGAATGAGGTTTAATTTATTTAAGTTATAATTTTATATAATTTCAGATACTTTGACTTTCTGTATCTCCCTTGAATAGGGCTTCTTTGGAACAATCTTTCTTCCTACTCTTGCATTACCACATTTTCTCACTAGGTGGCACTGCACACCCTGTTGTGGGTTGCCATGACAGCATGTTGGCTCAGCTTTGTTTCCTTGGTGCTTCTGCCCTTTTTGACTAATATTTGGCAGCAGGCTGATGTCCACAGTTAACCTCAGGCCACTCTGTTGTTTAGTATGGTATTAACCAAGATACAAGAAAACGTCACCATTTAGGTGTGAATAGCTTTAATTTATAGTGATAAAAGGTAAAATCATTAAATGGTAGGATCACATTCAAATGAATATTTAAGGATGTTTTGGTTCTTCTTGAAATGTTAGCCAATCCCTCTGCAAATGTTGGTCATTGTACAATAAGTACAGTGTTGTACTACATCTCAATTTAGCCTTACAAGAGAGGTGCCCTGATGGCACAGCGGTTAAGAGCTTGGCTGCTCACCAAAAGGTCGGCAGTTCAGATCCACCAGCCACTGCTTGGGAACCCTCTTGGCAGTTCTGCTGTCTGGGCAGTTCTGCTGTCTCCTGTAGGGTCACTATGAGAGTCGGAACTGACTCGACGGCACCTAACAACAGCAGAGAGAGGAATCCTCTTAGTTCACGTTTCTCTGAAACTATGGAACCCTGGTGGTGTAGTGGTTAAGAGTTGCTGCTGCTAACCAAAACGTCAGCAGTTCAAATCCACCAGGTGCTCCTTGGAAACCGTATGGGGCAGTTCTACTCTGTCCTATAGGGTCGCTATGAGTCAGAATTGACTCGATCGCAACGGGTTTGGTTTTTTGGTTCTGAAACTATAGTTGTGAAACTGCCAAGAGGAAGAATATTGGGTGAAAGCTGAAAGTATCCGGATCTGAATTGTTTTCAGTCGCCATAATGAAGGTAACTCAATCTCCTGGTCAAAAACTGACAAACATTTAATCTATAGGTATCTTCTGAAATTTAATTTAAGCACAGGGTATTTATAAAGGAGCATTTCCTGGAGAAGGTTGACTGGCCATCGAGAAAAATCTCACATGGTTTCATTCCATAGTGATTGGTCTCTGAGAGCCTGACCCACGTGAACAACACTCACAGGACACTCCTGTAGAACAAGCACAATGCCAGCTCACTCTTTGCATGATTACACAGACTAATGTTTGCTTATGAGCATGTTCTCTCGTTGGAAACAAATTCTGTGCAAAGTCAGATTGTAATCAGAAGGTAGTCATTGGGCGTGGACTCAGCACTGATGGAGAGGCGGCTGGATGATCCTAACAGTGGTGTCATCAGGGAGACTGGCCACATGGGTGGGATTCTCTTGGTGTTCGGTCAGGATCCTTTCTCCTTGGGATAACATTGGGGGTCTGCTGTCTGCTTTTGCTTCTCTGATTCTCCCAACTCTGTGCTTTCCTCGTTCATCAGATGCCACACCACACCCAAACCTGTGCGTCTTTCGTTAGCTGTATTAAATACGTGCAGTCACTTGAACTGGCCTTGACTTGGGAGCCAGTATTCCTCTTTAAGGTAGTGTCCCCCTAAGAGCATGATCTTAGATAAGAGCACACAGCACTTCCGCTCACAGTCTGGTGGCTAGGGCAGAGGTTCCCAGACTTTCTCAGTTCTTGCTGCCTTGGAGTCTTAGTTATTTTGTCACATCTCTTCCCCCACCTTTGGCCAAAAGAAATACCTAACATTTAAAACAACTTAATAAGTATTTATGTCCTAACAACTTAGTAGCCATTTGAAAAAATATTACACATAAATTGAAAGAGAAAAGCGACATTCTAGTTTCATTCTTAAGTAACCACACTTCCGTCTGCTAATCAAATGGTTGGCAGTTCAGATCCACTTGCTGCTCCTTGGAAACTCTATGGGGCAGTTCAACTCTGTCCTGTGAGGTTGCTATGAGTCGGAATGGACTCGACAGCGATAGGTTATCTCAAACCTTGGAATCAGACACTCATCTCCCATTCCACGTTGATTTTCAGACCACCGGAACCCCAGCTTTGCAAAGATGTGATGCCATCAGAATCCAGTGCAGTTGAATGTTGAACTTGTGAGCTGTCCAAGCTAGTCGTGTGGTGCGTGACAGGGGTCAAGTGTTTTCCTCTAGAATTTAAAACATCCCATGGTGCCCCTTTGGGTCCACTGTGGGGCCCTGAGTACAGGGCACACAGCTCGGGAACTCTGGGGCTAGAACTTAGTCATGTGCTACATTTAGCTGCAAGGAGACTGGGAAATGTAGCCTTTAATTTGGGTGGCCTCTGCTCTGATGAGTTAAATATTAATTTTTATATTTTTATCCTCACCCGTTCCCGTTGCTGTCGAGTCGATTCTGACTCACAACAACCCTATGGGAGAGTGGAACTGCCCCTTAGGGTTTCCAAGGCTGCAGTCTTTACGGAAGCAGACTCCACATCTTTCTCCTGCGGAGCGGCTGGTGGGTTCCAACTGCTGACCTTTTGATTAGCAGCCAAGTGCTTTAACCACTGCTGCGCCGCCAGAGCTCCTCTGCTGTATGATAGACACTCGCTAAGGGGTTTTTCATGTTTTCTCGCTTAATCCTCCCAATACCTTTCGAGGTAGGCACAAGTCTTTACTTCTGTCTCCCTCTCTGTATCTGTCCATCAATGTATGTCTGTCTACCCATCTGTCATCTATGTCTATACCAACACTCCGACTTAGAGAGGTTAAGTCTCTTGCCCAAAACCACGTGACAGTTAACTGGCAAAGCAGGATCTGAAAGAGCCAGTCTGATTTTAGAGACCACTGTCTTGACCAGTGTGCTGCATGACCGCGGATACTTACTGACTGCAGACACAAAGAGCAGCGTTCTGTACGGATGGTGGCAGTGTTTGCTCTTCAGCTGCGCTGAAGTAATTTAGTCAGTATTACTTTCTTTTTTTTATAGTAACTATCTTCAAAAGATTCAAGAAGTGAGTTCTCACAAGGCCCCTAAGCAAGCATGAAGGAGCACAGAGACTTATTCAAGGCAGCTGAGTGTCAACATCTAGTCTGAGATAACAGAGAGCAAAGGGTGAGGCCCACATTACGTCTCCTGACTGATGTTAGTCCGGGTCCCTTACCTGCAGGGACGTGACATGAGAACATTTGCTAACATCTCAACCCCCTATTTTTGTTGCAGGAGGCCAAGGGAAAGATGGTGCCCCCATCATCACTTTTCCAGAGTTTGCGGGGTTCAAACACATCTCAGATGAGGACTTCCTGAATGTCATGACCTACCTGACTAGTGTCCCCAGGTGAGCTGAACAGTGTCCAACCGCCTTCCTGGAGGCTGGCTTCAGCCCACAGCTTTCACTGGCTTTATTCCGCATTTCCCGTGTGGCAGAGCTGGAGGGTTGGGATAAATCTTCCATGAGCACACCTCATGCTGGTTTGTAACTTGACCGCTTTCTCTTATTCACAAGTGCTGAACAAGGCACGTGGAAAGAGACTGGGAAACAGCGACAGACACGTGTCGGTTTTGACTGTGGTGCACATTGTCGTGAGCTGCCATCGAGTTGGCTCACGCGCAGCAGAACGAAATGCTGCCTGGTGCTGCGCCCAAGACCGATGGTGGATCAGACTGTCCTGCTCTGTGGGTAAGATTTTCAGAACTAGATCACCAGGCCTTTCTTCCCTGTCCGTCTTAGTCTGGAAGCTCCAAGGAAACGCGTTCAACATCACAGCAACACACAAGCCTCTACTGATAGAGAGGTGGTGGCTGTGCTGAGGTGCATTGGCCGGGAATCGAACCCGGATCTGCCTCGTGGAAGGAGAGAATCCTACCACTGAACCACCACTGTCTTGTTGTGTGCTCAGGAAATACTTAAAAAAAATTATTGAGTGAATGAGAAATTGAACAGTGATGGTGCCTTTGTTCCTTCAGGTCCGCTTCTCTAGATTAAGGTTATTCTGGTTTTCTGGGTCATGCAGTATGGGACACAGGGCTGTCTGTCAAGGACTCAGTCTGTATAAGGAGTTGTTTAGTTTAGCTCCTTAAATAAGAAAATCAGGGGCATTTTCTCTTTCTCATCATTAGAGGGGGTAAGTAAGGCAAAGAGCAAGGAACTGCAGGCCAGGTCTGAGAACCATGCGAATAGCTGAGCGTGTGACTTCCACCCTCTCTACACTAGGTCTCTGCCACATCTTTCTGCCACTTCCGTCCGTAAACAACCACAGCTCCAAGGTGGAGTGTGCTGCAGAGTTCACAGTGGTCACGACCATTTCTGGGTCCTAACAAAGAGGTTAAGTTCTCAGCTGCTAACTGAAAGGTTGGAGGTTCTAACCCACCTAGCGACTCTGTGGGAGAAAGACCTGGTGATCTTCTTCCATAAAGGTTACAGCCAAGAAAACCCAATGGGGCACTGCTCTGTCACATGGGGTTGCTATGAGTCGATAATTGACTTGAGAGCACCAAACCACGAGAACCAAAGACGCAGACAGCTGTGGCCATCCAGTCCAAGTCCTGATTCTTAGGGAAAGTCCCAGCCTCCAAGGTCTGTATTGTTTATAATATCATCCTTTACGTAACTGCCGTCCTAGTCATCAGTGCTGCTGTAACAGAAATACCACAGGTGGATGCCTTTAACAAAGGGAAGTTTATTTCCTCACAGTAAAGTAGGCTAAAAGTCCAAATTCAGGGCGTCAGCTCCAGGGGAAGGCTTTCTCTCTCTGTCGGCCTTCTCGTCAGTGTTCCCCCGGACCAGGAGCTTCTCCACGCAGGCACCCTGGGTCCAAAGGATGCGCTGTCTTCCCGGCACTGCTTTCTTAGTGGTATGAGGTCCCCCACTCTCTGCTTGCTTCCCTTTCATCTCTTGTAAGATAAAAGGTGGTGCAGGCCACATCCCAGGGAAACTCCCTTTACATTGACTCAGGGATGTGACTTTAGTAAGGGTGTTACAATCCCACCCTAATCCTCTTTAACATAAAATTACAGTCACAAAATGGAGAACAACCACACAGTACTGGGAATCATGGCCCCGCCAAATCAATACACATATTTTTGGGGGGATGTAATTCAATCCATGACAACTACCATGTGGTTAAGAATCTACACAAGGGCCATGTATGCGGTATGTCGCTTGCTTTCCATTTGCCTCGTCTGATTTAGATGTAAACATCTGCTTTGTGATTGAAAGGCCACCCGGCGTTGGATCTCACCTCTGGGGATTGAGGAAGTTCATAGTTTGTTTTAACCTTCTTCAGAGAAAATTATAAATTTAGTTTTAATTCATTTCTTCAAAGTCTAGTACTTCATTTCATTTCACTAATTCTCTCACTCTCCCTGCCGGTCGCCCAACTGGCAGGCATGATGCCGACGTGAGGATTTGGGACCTTCCTTTCTGGGAGGGAGAGCTGCTTTGCTCACGTTGTTGTCTCTGTCAGAACAGAGTCCCAGGCGGTTTGATTAACGCACTCAGCTGCTAACTGAAAGGTTGGAGGTTCCCTTACACCCAGACATGCTTCAGAAGGAAGGCCTGCTGATCTACTTCCGCAAAAGCAGCCATTGAAAAGCCTATGGAGCACAGTTCTACTCTGACTCACATGGGGTCGCGATGAGTCGAAATTGCTTGGTTAACTCCTACACGTTTGTCAGCCTTCAGCTCTGACCTCATCTCTTTGAGGAGACCTTACCTGAACCCAGTTCTGCTCTCACAGACTCTCCTCTTTATTTCCACGGAACTCTGAGCTTACTCCTTTGATAACACCAAAAAATATGGAAACTATTTCTGCCTCTCCCATGAGACTATGAACTTTTTAAGAGTAGGGGCCGATGCTTTATTTTTAATTCTTGATTCCCAGCCCTAGCACAGTGCCTGGACATAGTGGGTTCTCAAGAAGTATTGTGGATTTCCAGTTTTGTATAATACTTTAAGTTAACAATTCATTCTGAACAAAAGGTATTTGTTGTAGGGTGGGAAGGGGGACAGTGATAGCGAGAAGAGCCCCCAGTCATCACTCCTGCTTCACCTCCCTGCTGTAGGGAGTTGAATTTGATCCCCCTCCTTGGCACCTTGCAGTTCAGTTTAGCAAATTCTCCTTCCATGGGGAGCAACAAGGATGAGGGTGAATGGGGAGGTGGGCAATGAATGGAAGTGTCCCTTCTGCCGTTTGTTTTAAGCTGACTGTCGCATCTCACTTAATCCCCGGGGATGTAGTCATATGCTGGATTAATGGGCGATTTTCATCTTGTATCTGTACCCTTTTCTGAGCACACTGGGCATGGCAGGCTGAGTGCCCTCTGAAACAGGTAGAGAAAACAACAAGGGTTACGACTCTGACTAAGATGCAGAAGATGACACAGGGGCTCCTGTTTGGGCCTGGTTTCTCTTTTCTGCTTTGTGTTGGATCATTTCTTGTAAGCTAGGGAGTAGTTTTCTTTCCTAGAATGCTGTTTGTCTCTTGAGAAAGAGGAGCTGTCTGACCAGCTGTTGGCGTTTCCACTTCTGGCTTTTGCTTATACCACCTCGCTGCCCCACCCTCGTTCCTTTCAACATAAAGCAGAGACAAAGGGCAGGGCCTGAAAGGAGAATGTGACCTGCACTGGGGTTTCTGGTTCCCATTCCAGGTTCCAAAGAATAAAACCACCCTTGTTCATTTCATGACTCCTGTTTATCAGTTTGCATCTTCCTGAAAGTTTACAGTGATTACCAGATACCAGGCCCTTCCCAGATGTCTTATACTCAGATGGCAGAGCTCTCATGACAGAACAAGAAAGTATTGCTACAGAAGAAGAGGAAAATGACAGGATACTCATGGCAGGGAAGGAATATCTCTGTGCTTGAAATTAATAAGAATTTCCTATTGTGGCTGGGGTTATGTGAGTACACAGAGGCTTCCCAGAATAACTCATTCTTCACTGAATCCTTGTTGAGTGCCAGCAGAGACCAATGATGGAAAGAATACACAAAGTCACCGCACCAAAAAGAATTGGTCAGCGTTCAGCCATTTCGGGAGGCAGCATATGATCAAGAACCATTGGTATTGAAGGAAGAAGTCCAAGCTGCACTGAAGGCATTGGCAAAAAAACAAGACTCCAGGAATTGATGGAATACCAATTTAGATGTTTCAACAAATGGATGCAACACTGGAAGCACTCAATCGTCTATGCTAAGAAATTTGGAACACAACTAACTGGCCAACTGACTGTAAGAGATCCATATTTGTGCCCATTCCAAAGAAAGATAGTCCAACAGAATGTAGAAAGTATCCAACAATCTCATTAACATCATACACAAATAAAATTTTGCTGAAGAGCATTCAAAAACGGTTACATCAATACATCCACAGGGAACTGCCAGAAATTCAAACTGGATTCAGAAGAGGACATGGGATGCGGGATAGCATTGCTAATATCAGATGGATCTTGGCTGAAAGCAGAGAATACCAGGAAGATGTTTACCTGTGTTTTACTGACTATGCAAAGGCATTTGATTGTGTGGATCATAACAAATTATGGATAACATTGCAAAGAAAAGGAATTCTGGAACACTTGATTGTGCTCATGCGGAACCTGTACACAGACCAAGAGGCGGTTGTTCAAATAGAACAAGAAGATAGTGCATGGTGTGTGTCAGGGTTGTGCCCGTTCACCCTACCTATTCAACCTGTTTGCTGAGCAGATAATCCAAGAAGCTGGACTATATGAAGAAGAACCGGGCATCAGGATTGGAGGAAGACTCATTAACAACCTATATGATATGCAGATGACACAACCTTGCTTGCTGAAAGTGAAGAGGACTTGAAGCACTTCCTGATGAAGATCAAAGACTACAGCCTTCAGTATGGATTACACGTCAGCATAAAGAACAAAAATCCTCACAAGTGGACCAATGAGTAACCTCATGATAAATGGAGAAAATGTTGAAATTGTCAAGTATTTCATTTTACTTGGATCCACAGTCAACCCACAAGGAAGCAGCAGTCAAGAAATCAAACGACATATTGCATTGGGCAAATCTGCTGCAAAAGACCTCTTTAAAGTGTGAAAACTCAAAGATGTCACCTAGAGGACTAAGGTGGACCTGACCTAAGCTATGGTATTTTCAGTCACCTTATATGCATGCAAAAGCTGGACAATGAATGAGGAAGACTGAAGAATTGATGCTTTTGAATTACGGTGTTGACAAAGAGTATTGAATATACCACGGACTGCCAGAAGAACGAACAAATCTGTCTTGGAAGAAGTACAGCCAGAGTGCTCCTTAGAAGGGAGAATGATGAGACTTTGTCTCGTGTACTTTGGATGTGTTATCAG